ATGGGAGGGACCCTGATATTCTCTAGCCCACTTTTTATATTTACTTTTTAATGGAGGTCTAACATACCATAACAATGTTGTGCACAAACTCAAACATGCAGCTTGATGGATTTTTTTTAGGGCTCCCAATTTTTTTTTTTTTAACAAATAGCTTTATTGAGATATGATTTACATACCATAAAATTCACCCATTTCAAGTGTACAGCCCAGTAGTCCTTAGTATATTTCCAGAGTTGTACAACCATCTCCATAATCTAATTTTGGAACTTTTTGCATTTTCATCAGCCCAAAGAAAAATCAGTATCTATTCTATTTTGTCTATTTATTTTTTTAACGCTGGTCACAGCCCATCAGATTTAATTCACCAGTGGGTTACGTCTGCAGATGACGAGACCTGTGTCAGAGGTTTTGCTAAAATCTCTCACTTACTCGTCACAAGAGTCCTGAAAGACAGGCACAACTCTGCCCACCCAGCTGGGAGCACAGAGGCAGAGCGCCCCCGCAATTCCAAGCTCACAGCACTCAGAAGCGATCGAGGCTGGTCGGGAGAGCAAGCCAGCCCCACACAGAGCCCCCCATTGTGGGGAGATGCTGAACTTGGTGACTCATTGCACAAAACACATTACAGTCAGAACTGTTGCCAGACAAACTGAATTCAAACCTCTTTAATGCAGAACTCAGCGTTGATATTCATACCCTGGGTGGAGCGGGGGTGACATGTACCCCAGCGGGATTGAGCAGATGAGTTTGAGAAGCAAATTAACAACACAAGAAAACCTTCAGGGATATTCTGCCTCAAACTCTTTCAACACGGAGCAGATGAGCCTGTTTCAGAGGCTGCAAACAATAAAAACCGTGTATCTATTTTTATAGCATTGAACTATCGTTATCGGTAAAACCGAGAGCAATTTCAATCAGACGTACATCAAAAAAATCCTACAGAATCATTGTTATACAGAATGTTGTGATTAAACGCAGATGACAGTTTCCTGTCTTCTCTCTTAGCCCAAGTCCTCAAGCAGGGGGAGCAGGTGGGGGGAGTCTGTAGATGTTAGTGTGTCTGGGTGTATGAGTGTGTTTGCACATTTGTGTGTATGTGTAGTGTTTGTGAATATGTGTGTGTGCTCTGTGTGTGACTATGTGTGTGTTGGGGAAAGGGAGGGCTCAATTCTCACCTCCACCCAAAATGATCTAGAGGCTGTAGATGTGAAGCAACAGGCAGACATTCCAGCCCAACGGGCCCCGAATTACATGGCTACAGATGCCACATACTAGCCCAGGGGCTACAGGAGGGGCTCAGTCAAACACCGGAGGAAAAGAAAACCCAGAGGGCCCGGGCTCTGGGTGTCAGACAAACTGAGCCATCCTGAGGTGACTGGATCCTTGAGGGATTGCAGCGGAGGGCTAGGGGGCAACAGTAGGAATCAGGGAATGGTGAAGGTTCTGGCAAGCCTTCCGCTGTACACATCAGTGCAATCAAATAAGCTTATCTTATTTATCTACCAGCTGGTTTGATGGGTAGTAAAAGAGTGAAGGTCAGTGGGGGAGGAAAGCAATAAAAATTTCACCTTCCAGTCCAGCCCCATCCTCTTTCTAGATACCTGTGACTAAACCAGGCTCCCCTTCGAGATACCAGTTTCCTGTTCATAAGCAGAGTTTATTCATCCATTCAGCAAGCATTTCTTGAGCACCTTGTAAGTGCCACCAATTGGGATAGACAGCACGGAGCTGTTTCATTTTTCCCTAGAAACCCTGTTGGGCTGAAGTCTAGGACAGTGTCTAAGATATTTATGTACAAACATCATCAATTTGGATACCGCGGAAGAACCTGGTTCGGTCAATGCCAAAAAGCTATGCATGAGAGCCTGCAAACCCTACCCCCAATCCGCACCTTGAGCTCGGATAAGCTCATGTGTGCTCCAGCCCCCCAGGGAACACAGGGTCCCCAGGGCAGAGCAGAAGCATGATGGGAGCAAAACCGTGGAGGCAGCCTCTGGCCAGAGCAGGGCTGACCGATTCACCAGCGCTGAGTTTGGCTTTACCACACCCTCGCTCTAGGATGGGCTTGGCGTCAGTTTCCTGACCTGCTCCGTGGCAAGAGGGCTCCTGCTGCAAGCAGAGCAGGGTTAAAGAGCACAGCCTGATCCCATAAAACAAAACAGAGCTGGCCTTGGTGGGTTTGGGCCTCCCCTCCCCTGGAGCGCCGGACACTGACACTGACAAGCAGCATGGGGGGGCACCCCGAGTCCTCAGTCCCCTCAGATCCAGGTGCCTGAGCTGCCAGATCTCCCTAGGATATGGGTTCCTTTGAACTTTTTCAAAGGTATGGAGGAAAGCCTGGCGTTTTATGAGTTCTGCCGCAGGCAGAGGAAATGGCTGTGTGCGGAGATGGAAGCCAATTAGAGGCAAAGGTCCGCAAGCTGCTCTCCCGCAGAGCTTGCCGCAGCCTGCCTCTGGGCCCGCGGCCGAGGCTCCAGAGCCCTGCTCCCGAGGGCTGAGGGGCACACAGGGGGCTCCTGGATGGAGGCAGGAGGCCATTCCGAGGTGTCCTCCTTTGGACTGAGTCCACCTTTGACCCCTCTCACCGCTGAATTCTGGAAGACAGTGGCTTGGCTCGGATCCCCCATTCATTAGGTGTTGCGAGAAATGCCTGAGTCAGGCCAACATTGATTCTGGCGGTGGGAGGAAATGGCAGTTCTTTTTTCTCGTCTTCCCTGGTGCCCCTAGGGCCATAGAGCTCTCCTGCAGAGATATCCCGCCTCAGATCAGTGCCTTATGTGCTACATTCCACAAAGTGGCCAATCCCACCCAGGACTAAGGGCTTCGCAGGGACGCAGGACTTTCAGGGCTAAAACAAGTTCGTCATTCTACCCACAGGGCTTTTATCCCTCCACTAAGAGACCCAGAGTTTCAGATGGAAACAAAGGAAACCTGTCCCTGAAGACAGAGAGCATGGAGACCAGTCCTCCAGTTGCAGAACATACCGGCCTCATCTGAGATTCAGAGGACAGGGCACATGGAGACTTCCACATGGGCCCCAAACCAAACCACCTGGGTCAACCCAGACCTGAAGGGTTTTCCAAGCCGAGCTGAGCCTGGACCCTTAGAAGCCTGACCTCCTCTGACCCAGCTGGGGCTGCGCCCCTTGTTGCACCACCACCACCAGGCTCCCAGTCCCCTGCAGAAGCCCTGCTCACACCTACCCAGGTACCCAGGTATGGTAAGGATGGACGCCACCCAGGATGATGTCCACACAGCACTGCCAGTTCTGTGCATTGAGCCATAAAGAATGATCTTCTGGGGCTTTATTCTTGCTGACATCCCATATCCCTGGCAGGGTGGATGGAATAAGGGTGAGTCTGGTGAGAAGCTTGTGGTTCATTTTGCCTTCCAAGTGACCATGACCCCAGTGAGGTTTGTAGAATGCACCTAAAAAGTGAAGGGAAGTAGGACAGGGTTCCCATCAGCCTTCAGAACCCCCTGCTTGCTCCTCCTCTCCTCCAGCTCCCCTGGCCCTGTGGGATCAAGCAGGAGGAGGCTCGGGCACAGCCGCAGGTGTCGGTCCCAGGCCTCAGATACAGGCAGTGAAGAGCGGGGGGAGAAAGTGGAGCTGAAGGAGAGAACAAGGAGGTGGTGGGGCAAGGAGGAAGAAAAGATCCTGCGCATGGTTGGGGGGCTTCGAAATTTCCTCGGCGTTCACCGAGTAACGATACCTAGCATCCCCTAAATGCCACTATGGCTAAGATCTCTGTTAGCCACATGGTGACTCTTCCAGCAGCCCCATGAGGGCAGGTGGGGTTCTCCATGTTTACACGGAAAGAAACCGTCACTAAGGGAGGTTAAGCCAGTTGCACGAGGTAACAAAACTAAGAAATCTCATCATCCCAGGTATGTCTGACTGCAAAGCTCTCAGCAGCTATAATATACAGCTTTCTGTCTCGCACACTCCTATTTGCATAAGTGCACAGTGCATCTCCATGCCAAGGACGGTTCCTATCTTCCCAACGTCAAGATCCACAGGTTCGGTCCTTAGGACTCCGTGGGAGAAGCCCGTGCCAGCCACAAAGCCCCGCGCGGGGCTGGGAAACGGCCGCGGAGCTCCCCCTGCTGGCCCCGCCGAGAGCACACACAGGACGTTGGGATGGCAACGCGAGCAGCAACGGACGCTTCACAAAGAAAGCAGATCGCGGCAGCCATGCTGGAGACCGCGCTGTGCTTGGGCTATGTGCTCCTTCTGGAGCCCCGGGGAAGGAGGGGAGCAACGCACAACGGCCGTTTCCCAAAGGAATGCTGAGAGGTGTCCCTAAAATGCAAATGATCTTTCAGCTTGAGAAATCTCAAAGGCGGGTAGCTTGTAGTCACATGGCCTGAATTCAAAATACAAAGAAAACACAAGAAACGAGAGCTGATGCTTGACTAAAAGTAAAAACAATAATAAAAGCCATACAGAGACATACAGCAAATGTTACCAGGTTTGAGCCCTTCCTGCGTGCCAAGCACTGTTCTAAGAGCTCCACGGTTATGATCTCATCAACAGCCATATTGAGATAATATTATTTTTATTAATTTGTTAACCAATTTTTATTAATTTGTTCATTTTTATTAATTAATTATTGTTATCAGCTGTGGAAGATGGGGCACAGAGATGTAAAGTCATTTGTACGAGGTCACACAGCCAGAAAACAGCAAGAGCCAGGGTAGATACATAAAGCAAAAGCCCTGCGGGAGACAGAGCATATGCTTAAAGAACAAATAATTCTGCCCTCCTGTGTGTGCGCACTAGTAGTATTTCCAGGTACTCGGTCTGTTTATTGCTCCTTCTTATATCCCCGGTAACAAACAAGCAAACAAACAACAAAGCATTTGTGAGTCCCAGAGTTAAGGTGGTTCGTGTCTGGCCACAGGAAAGAGGGAGCCCCACACACTTCCCTCCCGGAAGTGGACATTCTGCCCTGAACCGGAAGTGGACATTCTGCCCTGAACCGGAAGTGGACATTCTGCCCCTGCACCGTGAAGACATTCCCTCGCTCCCTGAGCTGAGCAGCCGGCAGAGACAAAGGGGGCAAGCTCAGGAAGTGTAGGCTCGGCCAACTGCCTTAGTAAATTACCTTTCATGGTGTGTAAAAGGAATTTGGCATTCGAGGGGAGAGACGAAAGCAGATTGGCCGAGGTGCAGAGAGACATCTGAATCTTGTTCCTCAGTTCTTAGGAGACGCTTCCAGGGCATACTTCCCACTCTCTGCTACAAGATGACGGAGATGACGAGATGACGTTGTGCCTACTCGCTTCACAGGAGAGGTGAGTGAGTTTGGGGGGGCACGGGGCAAAGATGGCGACAGCTGACCTCGGTGTGACTCTTGGTTCTTCCGTAAAATATAAAGCCTGCTGGAGCACAGAACTGAAGAGACTAAAGAGAAATACCCTGGCATCTGGTGTCGATGGCTGGGTGCTCTTGCTTTACAAAGGGTCACTAAAGACACCCTGAACCCCAGATCTCCACCGTAGCTAGAGGGAGGAGTTGATGGGCTAGTGTGGAGGTGGGAAGACGTCTGTGGGAAACGAGTTCAGACCTTAAAACTGGAAACATCCTGGGGATCTTGGCAGGGTTTTAGCTCCTCCATCTGCCTTTAGATGAGGAACTTACAGCTGATCTTCTGACAGTGTCCCCCACTCTTGTGCAAGGACAGAGCTAAGCTTTTGGCAGCACGCTGGAGCACAGATGCGCCAGGGACGTTCTGTTAACAAAGCACAAAGGGTAGAAGGAAGGAACAAACCATTCTTGTTCAGAGAGAGCTCCATTGTGTTTATCCAATAGGACAGAAAGCCTCCCCCCTCACCACCACTGTCAAAGGCAGATCCGTCCCATGACCAGAATCGGAGTCCCGCCCCTGGAGCAAGGATCCTGAGGTTTCACCGTCAGGGAGCAAAGCCTGCAGCTCCAGTGAAAACCCAAGTGCTCAGATCTCACAGCTAGGGGGAGGGCAGGGCAATATCCCACCCACTCAAGAATCACTTCTTTCCACTTGTCTGAGCAGAGTGGGAAGGAGGGCCTCCGGAAACCATCTGGAAGGGAGTTGGCTGGGGCTCAGTTGTCACTGATTTATGAAGGCCTTTCAGGGCCAGAATGACACCATCCACCCTCAGCCTACCTCCTGCTAATTTATTTTCTCAGAGCTTTAAATCATGGTGACAGCCCTGCAGGCACTTTGACCAGTCAAGGTTCCCCCGCCCCCATAGTGGGCCCCGCACTGCACTCTACACCCCAACCTGCTCCCAGCCACACTCCCAGCCCCTGCTGCTGTCGGACTCTCTGCTCAGTCAGATAATCAGCAGAGCGGTAACTGACTGAGAAGCTCCTTCCACTGAAAAAAATTACCAAAGTTAAAAAAAAAAAGTATTGACATTATGACTCACCCTTACCTGGTATTAGTGCTAAGCTTCAAAGCAAACACCTGCTACCATCGACAAAATAAATGCTAAATTACTAAGATACCTACGTTCTTTTTCTAAACACAGATTTTACCACACCACCGAAATCTTGCTAGGTTAAAGGAGTTTTCCAATTGCCCAAAGCATCTGAATGCCCATTATTTCCACCCCACTTTTATTTTTTTTTTTTTTAAGATTTTTATTTATTCATTTGACAGAGAGAGAGAGAGCACAAGCAGGGGGAGCGGCAGGCTGAGGGAGAAGGAGAAGCAGGCCTCCCGCGGAGCAGGGAGCCCGATGTGGGGCTCGATCCCAGGACCCCAGGATCATGACCTGAGCTGAAGGCAGACGCCCAACTGACTGAGCCACCCAGGCGCCCCTATTTTGTGACTTTTTGATGTGAAATAATTTCAAACTTTAGAGAAGTAATTCAGGAACAGTACAAAGAACCACCTTATACCCTTTATTCAGCAATTACTCACACTTCGCTACATTTGCACACTCCCTCTCTCTATATGTGTGTATGTATACATATATATGTAATCATTATTTTCTGAACAATTTGAAAGTAAGTTGCAGAGACAATATTCCCTTTACCCCTACATAGTTCAGCATTTTTATCCCAAGAACAAAGATTGTATCTTACATAACAACAGTATAATTTTCAAATTCAGGAAATTTAAAACCGCTACAATTATCTATTCTACAGTCCATGTACCAACTTCTTCAACTGTCCGACGACGTCCTTTATAGCCATTCTCCCTGACCCAGGATCCAGTCTAGCTACTCGTGGCGTTGGGACACCTCGTCGCTGTCCCCGGGGAACTTTCCCCAGACTCTTCTCCGCTCCTTTGGGTCCGTCTGCTGTCTGTCCCGTCCCACCCTGCACGGGCCCTGCGCCTCTGGGGACAGAAGGACGCGCAGAAGAGGACAACCGCGGGACGACGAGACGCCGACCCTCAGGACAGCTGGCCGTGGCGGTCACGGCTGCGCTCTCAGCCCCCCCGGGCGGCCGAGGGTCGGGACGCGGGGAAGACGCGGACCACAGCGCCCGGAGACCTCGGCTGCAACCGCGCGCCTCCGCGCACTTAAACCCGGCACTGCCGCAGCAGTGGGACTTCCAGAAGGGAGCCGGCGCTTTCCCTGCTCATGAATAATTCAGCCTCGCAGCCTCCCGCTCACGACTTGGAGGAGAGGCCGTTTTCAGCGACGCTTGAAACCGCGGCCGTTCCCGCGCCCGCAGCCGCGGCCCAGCCTGCGACGCTCCCCCTCTTTCCTCTTCGCCCTCCCACCCCGGCCGTTGCCGCTGTTTTTCTCATCTTCCTACATAAAGACCAAAGCGTTTGGATTCGCTTCTTGAAAATGCTTTCCCTGAACTTCGATCGAGTAGGCCGGTGCAGATGGGGAGGGTCCGCGGACGTGGAGCCAGGATCCAGTCCCAGCTGCTAGTTCCCCTGACCGACGTTTCCTGCCCACTGGAGGGCAAGCACGACCTGGCCAAGTATCAGATGGTGGAGCACCCTTCAGGGAGCCTCTAAACGGGAGAGACCTCACAGGGGATCACATATGCCTGCAGGCAGATTTCCAGGAAGCCGACGAAACTCAGGCTTCAGCCAGAACCAGGGAAGGGTTAACACAGTTGTGTTTCTGGAAAATTCAGCAAAGTAAGATTACTTGTATTTTTTTTCTTGAAAAGGGGCCACCGAAACTTTATGAGCTACCATCCTATGAAACTGTGTGTATGCAGTAGATATAGATAGGTAACTGGATACATAGATATGATAGGTAACAAGTACACGCCAATGAGTTATTTTAAGAAGAATCAAAATTTAAATTAAAACTATTTACATTTAGGTTTGTTTTTAAACTGAAGGGTAAGGAACTATCGAGCTGACGGAAACATGACTATTAAAAACTTGCCTTGGAAAAGAAAAAAAAAAAATAACTTGCCATGAATTTTTTGAGCAAAACTGCAGACCAAAAAAAAGTTCCTATCCTTTTCCTTTTCGTTTTGTTTTGTTTTGTTGCAACATTACTGGATTCTTCCTGGTTTTCTAATCCAAAAATCACTTCTCTGGCTTTCTCTTTACCAGAGAGTATAAACCCTTACAGTCAAAGTGGTACAGAAATCTGCAGCCTTTTGCTTGAGGAGGAGAGGACAGAGCCTGGTGTCTGGCTGAAAAATAGTGTATACACAGAGCATGCCTCTTATCCTCTTTTGGAATGTTCCAATCATGGAATAAATGCTATTGAAGTCAACCATCGTCCTACCTAAAATCATGTTCGTTTTGTCCTTTTTTCGGATGTGCAGCCTCATTCTAGAAAATAAAGGCCATTTTTCATCTTGCTAGTTATTCCATTTCGAATATTCTCTAACTATATAAATGATCAAGTGTTAATAAAGTTGTTTTCCAACATTTCCATAAGAATTCAAAGAAAAACTTTGTTAATCACCCTATCTTTTTTCAGAAGAGTCCATGGACATAGCAAGATATTCTCATTGCTCCTGTCTACACAGAGCTTGTATCTACTAGGCCAAGTAGTGAAACCAGCCAGGTGGTAGGAACCCAGGCAAGAAAAGACTGTAAGAGGTTACACAGAAAGGACTGCCCATCCTGGGGTACCCTTAAAGCCATGCTGTTCCTCTCAAGAATCTCAAAGCTTGACATGACCCCAAGCCATATAGGGCCTTTCCAGACTAGAGCTGAATCGGTCATTCCTGTCCAAACACACACCCTTGGCCTTCCAGGGCCAATGATCTGCAAGGTGACAAGAAGACATTCAGGTGGCTTCTGAGAAAGTTATCAATTATTCTGCTTCTACAGAAAGAGCTAAAACCTGAGGTACCAAAGGCAGCTTTCATTTGCTGAGCCAAGCACTATGCTAAGTGCTTGTCATACATTCTGTCACTTAACCCCCCAAAATAAAATCCTGGAGGGTTATTATTTTATTTTATTTTTTTAAGATTTTATTTATTTATTTGACAGAGAGAGAGAGAGACAGTGAGAGAGGGAACACAAGCAGGGGGAGTGGGAGAGGGAGAAGCAGGC